AAAAAAACTGTATTTCTTAGACTATATCCGTCTAAATATATGAGGCCATGAGAACAGAAGTGACCTAACCCGAAATTTTTTTTGTGTGCTTTCCTACTTATAATCGTCCCAAATGAGATAAACTTTAAAATGAAAGTCGTTTATTCTTTAATTTTATGGTTCATAGCTACATACAAAACGTATCATCAAAGTAAGTAATAATCGACCTTTACTTTAATATGTATTACATTTAAATATATTTTAAGAAGTTAAGTACAAGAAAAAAATTTGTGGGTTAGGCCACTTCTGCTCTTGTGGCCTCATATAATTAAATAGAAAGCCTTAGATCAAATAGCCCCTTTCGTCATGAATAGCTTGAATAGCTATCATTGTCATTCATAGTACTCAAATGCAATTGTTTTCCATAAAAATGATCTAACTTGTTTCGGTTGCCTATAAGTTTTCGTTCAGAAGTTCTTGAAACTTATGTCATTGTGGCTGAGGATCCGCATAAAATCTGCTCATCTATTAAAGATTCTAAAAAATTATTTATGGTTCTTTGTTAGAACAATAACGAGCCCTTGCCACCCCGGCAATTTTATCTTCCTCTGTGTGGACAGTAGGTGCATAGTTGTCAGAAAGAGGTCAAAGTTGCCGGGGCGTTCCAATTATTCCAGTGGGCACAAATGGTACTATTTCTCATAGAACTCAACATACTGCTTGACTTTTTGATTTTAAATGGCCTTAATTAAGAAACGTCACTTGGATTTTCCAAGGATATTCTAAGGGCCCAAAAAACCGGGTGCAACACACCTTCCTCATATGTATTTGAATCAGTTATTGGTAATTGGTCAAGTGGAATAAGTCAGCAAATTTCATGCAGTTCAATAGATCTCTTTTAATCAAATCACTTATTGAAAAATGCATTTATTTAGACAATTGAAACAAAATGTTTGCTTTATATCTCTCAGTGGTTCGAAAAACTTAGAAAAAACTTTTGCCGGTATATGAACCGCGGGTCGATTCGGTTCAAGAATGGTACATTTTTTTTTAAATATCAGAAAAAAATAAAGAGGGCTTTGAACATCGAAAGTTTGTATGAAAATATGATTACAATTCACAAAGCGGCGAACGTAATATTATAGATAATAGATAAGATAGATAGATAATGACATAGTTTAAATTTTTATATCTTAAGGACGAATAACCAAAATTAAACAAGTAATTTTTCAGCAAAAACTACAACCGACTTCAATTCTCCTATAAAAATTTAAGATTATTTCAATGATCGGAATTAAAACAATATAAGTATGGGACCACCTTTGAGGTAAAACCTTTGAAAAAAGAATTATAGAAAAATATTCCGACGAATTGATAACCTTCTCGTTTTTGGGAAGTGGGTTAACAAATTAAAAAGATTATTAAACCTTGCATGCTGGAGTAGTGCTGGATTCCGCGCAAAAAATTTCGTAGGAAATATATGGTTTAGATTTTGTATCATAATCTTGCCTTAGGCTCGAAAATCTCATTTTCGATAGGTTCTTAACTTCGTTGGCCAACTCACAGAGTTCACATCAAACAGTAGCAGGGCTAATCAAAAATTTAAAAATGCTTAAGTGGATTTTAATTTTGAACCGTACCGAACCATCAATATAGCACTTAAAATCTAATGTTTGCTACATAATATTAGGCGCAGTAGTGATCGTTTGGGTAGGTAACTCAACAAATGAGTTGACTCTGCGACTCTAGCTCATTTCAGTGAAGTAGTATTATGCTAAATTCTCGTCGCCAAAATTCTCTAAATAAACCGCAGGGGGCCTTGAAGTATAAAGCATGAAAAAGTAACATTTGCAATGTGACAGTGCGAGGAGCTTTTAACCACATGTTGCATGTTGTTGCATGCAGATTTTTGGCGATCAATATTAGCTACGGAGAATGTAGGATCCCGACTGCTGGAACGGAATTAAAACTAGATCGTCCACTGGCCACTAGTAGGTTAACTTTTTTTAATCTGAGGCCAAAGAAGTTTTTATACATTTTCTTTAAAAACTTTTACATATTTTATACCTGCATAATACGAGTTAAAATCTGGACAACCATGTACATAAAATGAATAATAATACAAAAAATATTAATTTCCACAGGAGGGCGAGGCAGATGATGATGATGGCAACCGGCCAGAGAAGAGGTAACACTTGGCCTATGTCTTTTTGTGGCCTTTTTATTAATTTCAAACTTTTTCTCTTCACAGCGAATGTTTTTTTGCAGGAAAAGCCACTGCAATGGGTCTTACCTTCAAGGATATTCCAGCTAAAACCAGCGAACGTCGGCCCAGTACAGATTCGGCAAAATCAACGAATAGCACACAAAGTAATAATTCTGATATACAGCAACATTTACAATCAATGATTGATCTACTTTATCCTGAGGAAACCTTGAAGATGGTAATTTAAAAAAAAAAAAAACGTTAAAATTTTAAGTTAAAAATTGAACATGCATTTACCATCAGGCAGTTAAATTGGAGTCCCAACGACCGAATCGCACAAGGTATCTAGTGATTGTATCACGTTGTTGTTACCGCCCCACAACCACCGATCGAAAGAATAAAATAATGCGGCATAATTCGACTAAAGCAAGCAATGCAATAACATCAACAAACACTGTTACAATGCGTCAATCATCAACAGATAGCATACAGCGAACGACACCACAACAACAGTCACAAACTGAATCAAGTAGCGGTGGTGAGGAATCAACAGACGCTCATGAGAAGCGCTTGTCGAGCGTATCTTTGCCGGCGAAAGCATCTCAACACCAGAGCATCAAAAGCGACTCCGATAAAATGAACGCATCGGGCGATAGCAAGGCATGTGAGGATGGTGTCGAAGAATCCTGTCTTTTGGGTATCGATTGCAATGAACGCACCACAATTGGCCTGGTTTTGCCAATACTTGCCGATACGACAATACATCTTGATGGCGATGGGTAAATTAAATTAGCCCAACTGTGAACTTCACTTATCATTAATTGACTATTTACTTTACCTCAACAGTGGCTTTAGCGTTTCAGTATACGGCAAAACACACATTTTTAAACCCGTTTCCGTGCAAGCCATGTGGTAAGTTCGAATTTCTGATGGCAAATCAACCACAATAATACAAATTTCCGGTTTTAGGTCTGCATTACAAACTTTACATAAAGTATCGCAAAAGGCTCGTGAGAATAATTTTTATCCACGTGGTCCATCGCACGATTGGACTTCTTACTATGATAGTCACATTGAGTCAGAACAATCTTGCCTAAATGAATGGAATGCAATGGATTCACTAGAAAGCCGACGCCCTCCATCGCCAGATGCCATAAGAAACAAGTAAATAAATGAAAATTAATCTTATGCAACTTTACATAATTTCAGTGTTAATTTTCATTTTAATACAGACCAACTGCGAAGGAGGAAACGGAAAGCACAATCAAAATGAAGCTAAAGGAAATAATGATGTCGGTAGATTTAGATGAAGTGACTTCTAAATACATACGTGGTCGACTTGAAGAACTTCTGGATATGGATTTAGGCGAGTTTAAATCGTTTATCGATGAGGAAATGTTAACAATACTAGGTCAAATGGATGCCCCAACAGAGATATTCGATCACGTTTATCTTGGTTCGGAATGGAATGCCAGTAATTTGGAAGAGCTGCAAAAGAATGGGTAAATTGTTCATGTCTCCTAATGCATATATGTAACTTACTATAATTTTATTTTAGAATACGCCATATTCTTAATGTAACACGAGAGATCGATAATTTTTTTCCTGGCGTCTTTGATTATTTCAATGTGCGAGTTTATGATGATGAAAAGACGAATCTGTTAAAGCACTGGGACAACACATTTCGTTACATAACACGTGCCAAATCGGAGGGATCCAAAGTACTCGTTCACTGTAAAATGGGTGTCAGCCGATCAGCGTCGGTTGTAATCGCCTATGCTATGAAGGCATACAATTGGGAATTCAAACATGCACTTCAACACGTTAAGGAACGCCGAAACTGCATAAAGCCTAATAAGAATTTCCTTAATCAGCTGGAGACTTACCGTGGCATGTTGGATGCAATGAAGAATAAGGAGAAACTGCAGCGCAGTAAAAGCGAAACGAATTTGAAGAGCACAAAGGACGCGCGCCTGCTGCCAGGCAGTGAGCCTACGCCACTCATACAGGCGCTCAACCAGTCCAAATCAAAATCAACCGGAGGACAGGAAGATGTGACCTGTGGGGATAGCGCAGTGGAAAGAGCCGACAGAAGCATTATAAGTACTAAAGGCGTCGGACGGTCTAAAACGCCAATTGGCAATGACGGTGGCGGCACGAATGAAGCCAAGCAACGTCG